TCACTGCCGCCGCCGGCTCGTCGCGGAGGGGACAGCTGACGTAACCGAGAGGGGGCCTGAGGCCGTGTGGCAAAGCGGTACTGTGGTGCCGCTGACAGCGTTGGAGTTGGTTTTGTAGCTGATTACCGAGTATAGCTTTGCCTGGCCTTGGCTGTTAGCCATTAAACTGATGAGTGCAGTTTTTCGGCTAGCATGCTCTTCTGGGTGCTGTTAGCTGTCCTTGATGGAGAGCGCAGTTGCATTAGCTTGTTTCCTGACTGCAGGTAATACCGGGGGTGCTTTTCTTGTCAAAGCCTTATTCTTCATCTCTAGAGTGTTCTTCTGCTTGTTTGTTTTTGTTATTGTTTTGGTTAGGGTTTTTTTGCTATTTGTTTGGGTTTTTTTGTTTGTTTGCTTGTTTTAACATAAAGCACTGGGGAAGACGGCAGGGTGTACCACACTTTAGGACGTTCTGCTTGTTAGCGTAGCACTTCTAACTATATAGCCTGAGTAATGGAACGTTGTTTTCTCTAGTTATGAACTTAGAGATTCATGAAGGTTGCATCAGAGTCTTTAACAATGCTTTCGGCAGGCAAGGAACGTGATCTGTGCTGGCATGCTTCAGAGTTCACTGTCCTTTGCTTGTTCCTTTGCTCAAGGTTAAGCAAATGCGTCCTTAAATTAGCTTTGTGGGCTTGTGTCATAGTGTCAAGAAGAACGATCTTTGTGAAGGCAATGTGAAGTGATCTCAGCTACAGGGCGGAGGCATGTGTTCAGCTTGTAGAAACTCTTCTATGGGGGAGAGGGTGTTTAGACAGACCGGGGTGGTAATCTTAAAGTTTCAAAGCAACATCTCTCCCCTCTGTACCCCAATCTTTTGTTTGGAGAGCCATAAATTTGAACTTTGATGTGCCACTTGAGCTCACAGGACAGAAATACATTTCAGGCAGAGGAGGCGGGGGGGGAAAACATTTTGGAACGAGTACACATATATTTTCACTATTCAGTGGTACTTTAACAATCGGATTTTAAGTATATGTAACAAGAACTGACCCAACATAGCTTCCTGTTCTTAGTATTATCATAATATTATTTCTATTGTAGCATTTTTCTACATGCCTAAATTTAGTTTGTGCGATTTTTAGTTTCTTTCTAGGTGGGAATTGGGAAATGGAGAAGCTTGTATATTATTGTGATCTTTAGGCACGTATATGATGCCTTTATGTATGAATCATTAATTTCAGTGCATAGGTGGATGGTGCCTTACATTCAGGCAATTGTTAAACGCTTTCTTTTGTCCTATGGATTCATTGTGGTGCCATTTACTGACAAAGTGTAGTCTCTTCTGTGAAGATGGAATTATTCATTTTCCTTTCTGTTAATACCTCTGACACTAGTAAGCGTAGTTTTGCTAGACATTGTACAAAAATGAAAGCAGAGGTGTGAAAACTAGAATATGCCAACAATAGTGTTATTGCTCATGTCAAGACCGTGTTGTTTCTTCTCAAAAGTGTTGAGCATCTAGGCAAACTAACTCAAGAACTCTGCAGATGGTCTTCCTTGCTAGGCAAAGACAATAGGTGGCTTTTTTTGTTTGGGCATACTCAATTTT